ACACACTCTCTCTGTTTAAATCTAGATTAAAGACACATCTTTTTGGCATTCAAATAATGCATCTCATAATCTTTTACTGCAGTTATATCTGATCAAATGCACATTATTATTCTTTTCTTTTGATTGACATCCCGTGGTAACAAGGATTTACACAAGCTTCAGTCTGGATCCAGAACACCTGAGAAGAGATGATGCCAACCCTGAAACAACATACAGAACTACCACATTTTGCTATAAGTTTGATTGTATCATATAATAATTGCTGTTAATAGTGTTCATCGTCTGTTTTATTACGTCTTAAATTGATTTTTCCGTACATTTCTGCCATATGGACATTAACTGACAGTCACCACTGATAAGCTACCACTAAATATTGTAGAAACTTAATTTGCTGTAAAGTTGCTTTGCAATGATTTGTATCGTGAAAAGCGCTGTACAAATAAACTTGACTTGACTTGACTTGACTTGACTTGACTTGACTTGACTTGACTTGACTTGACTTGACTTGACTTGACTTGACTTGACTTGACTTGACTTGACTTGACTTGACTTGAGTAATTTGTGGGCTACCTTTCATTTTTGGGTGAACTAACCCTGTAACTTTGCAAATTCTAGTATTGCATTAGTAGTGCATCCTTCTCATGGGTATTTAATCATTTTTAAAGAATTAAATGTCTTTTTTGGCTCATTTTATCTGTAAAAGAAAACCTGCTTAATAATTATGTACACCTGAATATAAGGATTTTTTCGCTTCCAGCCTTCATGGACAATTATGTATCACTTATAAATGATTAAATACAAAATGAATAGTAGTTATTAAGATTAACGTGGTTTGGAATTGGTCAAATGTGCTTGGAAAAAAAATATGATCAGAATATCAACTTGCCTAATAATTATGCATGCACTGTATATATAGCATATAAATAAAACAAAAAATAACTACGAAACCACCTGGCAACCACACAGCAATTATTCAGAACATCTTAGCAACTGCAAAACAACGCCTGGTCAACCAACCACACTTTGTCCTAGCATAGTGAGTTTTGCACTAAAAAAGAAAAAAAAAAAAAAAAAGCACCATAAAAGAATCACATGCACAATCTTCCAATTTTTCTAATTCTCGTGATAGATCTGTGTGAGGAATAGACTGAAATTTAAGCCATTATTCACTGAAAATCTGCTCATGAGGGTGAGTAAATGATAGAGAATCTTCACTATTCCTTTATAATCATAATAAAAATGGATTAACGCATCTGTTTTATATGTCCTAATGTACTCATTAGCTAAACTAGCTCACACTTCATAGTGATTTTTAACACAGAAATCCTCCATTTTCTCCTACAGCCTGTCAATAAATCCTTTTGAGACCACTGAAGTCTTGCTTTCTCTATGGAGCTGAAGGAGAGCCGCATCTCATGGTGACCTGTGTCTGAGTTTGCGGTGTTTGACAGAGACAGACGGGCTCAGAGGTGCTGCTTTCAGAATCAGGTTGACCCGTTTCAGGTGCGGGGACACATCCGGGCCAGAGACTCTCCTTTAGTTACGGAGAGCCACACGGCATCAGCTGTAATTAACACACGGCTGGAGCAACGTGCACTTTTAAAAACAAAACAGATGAAAATAAAACAAGATTTTGACATTTTCTGCGAGGGTTCGACATGCAAAACATGTCAGGAGTTTGTTCAAATCGCTACACTAAATGTGAGCGAAAGTAATTGAAATATCTGCATATCTGCATTACAAACAAGAAGAGATGTCACAAACCAAACCAGACGTCCAACCACTATTTTTAGAAATAAAATGAAGCTGAAATGAGGACACACTCAAATACAATCCTACAACACACTCTGAGAACAGTCAAACTTATAACTCTCTCAGACAAAAACAAACTACATCAGACATAAACATTATTAAAAAAGCAGTTCAGTTAAATCAAATAAAAATAGGTTTTTAATATAGCAGTTTAAAAGCACGCTAAACAATATGCATTAAGTGCCCATGGACACTTTATAGGTAAAAATTGTCAATTGTATACTAAAGCATCACTATTTTTGCCTTTATTAATTCTTCTATAATGAAATGAAAAATAATTTCTAATTGTACAAATATTCCATGTTGTTGCTCAGTTAATAAGTACTCATAAATCTGCATGTGTAGTAATTACAAAACAATTAGTAAAATGCTTTTAAAAAATTTTTTTCTAAATGCCATTTCACTTCCCAAATATAAAAATCAATACTATACATAAAAATTTAATTCTATTTTCTACCTAATAGAAAATGAATCATATTCCATATCATATTCCATATTTCATATCATATGAAAAAATGCCTGTTAAAATTGCCTGGTCATATTTACAAATGCCATATAACAAATACTATTAATAGGACGTCAACTTCTTAAAATGTCAATGTCAACGACCAAAATATAAAAAATCAACAATGTATATAAAAATACATTGTATAGGCTCAAATAAACAAATATTTATACTCATTTTAAAGTGATTAAATAAATCATATGCCTTAAATAAACAAATAATATTTACACTAAAAAATACTATTAATCATCGCAAGCTTCATATTTATAAATGCTGATTAGTAAAATGCTATTTTGAAAAAGTCTTAAATGGCATTTAACATGTAACACCACAGGACGTCAATTTCCAAAGAGTTTTTCATGGCAACTATAAATTTCATGGATAAAATAATTCTATAGACTCAAATAACATAAAACAAATATTTATCCTCAATTTAAACTGATTAAAAACCCTATTAACCAGGCACAAGCTTCATATTTACAAATGCTAATTAGAAAAATGCTATTTAAAATAGTTACTTCCCAAAGGTATTTCATGTCAACTAAAAAAAAATCAATAATGTAAATAAATTCTATAGTCTCAAATAAACAAGCTTTATAAAACAAGCAAGCTTTATTTTTACAAATTCAAGCAAAATGTTGAATTTTTTAGACAGCATGTCACACCGCAGGATGTCAACTTCCCAAATATAAAAATCAATCATGTACAGTACATAAAACATTTTTTTTAGGTTCTTCTTATAAGAATCATATGCCTTAAATAAACATAAAAAATATATTTACACTAAACAAATCCTTTTAACCAATGATATACTCTATATTTACAAATGCTAATTAGCAAATGCTACTTAAAACCGCAGGACATGTCAACTACCCAAATCTAAAAATCAATAATGCACGTAAAAATAAAATCTATAGTCTCAAATTAGCATGAAACTAAAATATATCCTCAATTTAAATGATTAAACAAATCATATGCCTCCAATATACATAAAACCAATCACAAGTTAAATATTAACATATTTGCATATTAGCAAAATTATATTTAAAATATTTTTAGATGGCATGTCACACCGCAAAATCAATAATGAATATTGTACATTAAAAAAAGGAAAATAAATATTTATCCACAATTTAAACTGATTAAAACCCTATTAACCAATCACAAGCTTCATATTTACAAAAGCTAAATAACGAAATGGCATTTGAAACAGTTTTAGACAGAACGTCTAAATGATAGGGATGTAACAGTATTATCAATATCGTGATATCGCGATAGCAAAACTCTCTCGATATTATCGTGGTCACATGACGATACGAAACGATAGGTCTTCCGGGCAAAAAGTGTAGTTTTTAAAATATATTAAACTTCTTATTCTAACATAAAAGGTCTTTAAAGTTGTGTTTTGGGCCATTATTAATTCGTTCAGACGATCAGCTCGTGATCCGGTGTTTTCTGCGCCTCCGTTCACTGTGAATGAATGCAGTCAACTCGTGTATTGCATGTGCTGCGAGTTTAGTGCACCAGTTATGCTTTATTTTCGCAGCAGAGGATTACAGCATTTCACTAGATTTTTTATTTTTTTCGTTTTTTTTTTACATTTTTTTTTTTTATTATGCTTCCATTTACAACAAACAAACAAGGTACATAAACACATCACATAATCTAACAACACGTGAACAGCCTTAGGTTGAGCATAACCAGTGATAAACAAGATCACAATAAACCAATAATAAAGAAGAAAAGAAAAGAAAAGAAATAAATAAATAAATAAAACAAATAAAACAAACAAACCAAAAGGGGCTTTTTACATTAGTTTATACATGCCCCAAAAACGAAATCAATTTGAGAGCTTTCTTGTTTTTAACCAATTCTAAAGATTTGCACAAAATTTTAACCTCATTCATCCACATTTCACTAGATTTGTAGTGAGAAGCGTTTTTGTTTTTGTAAGCATGTTTTCACTGAAGCTGGAGTTTTCCTTCAAAATAAAAGCTCTAATGCCGTTTCTGTCGAAATAAAAGCTTAAAAGTGCAGCATGAATTGCTGACAGCTAGCGGTTTAAACGCAGTCCAAATTCAAAATATCTCTTTCAAGCGTATTGTAATTTCCCTGCTGTAATGTAAAGCAAAAATAACATGCCTATGAAATATTAATTTTCATTTATTTGACAGTAATTGTTTTACAACATATGGCTACTACTCTCATTGTTGTTGTTATTATTATTATTATTATATTCTAATTTGTTTGGCTTTCTAAAACACCAGTGTGAATGTAATTTAGACTGAGACGGTATACCACAAATAAAAAGAGGGTTGAGTCCCCTTTAAAGTTCAGGTACAAGTCAATTCACTGACTTTTTTCTGACTTAGTTAAGAACATGGGTTGGAGCTCTTAATTTTGAACTCTCAACGTGCACTAGACAGAATAATTTAACTTTAAAATGTACAAAATGTTGTTTTTTTTTAATATCGCAATAAATATCGTACCATGGACTTCATATCGAGATATTATCATATCGTGAGATTTTGATATAGTTACATCCCTACTAAATGATGTTTAGAATGACGTGATAAATTAGCACGATAAAAGTCTGATTAAACCCCTATTAGCCAATCACAAGCTTTATAAGCACAAATGCTACATGCAGGTGAGTAGAAGTGAACAGGAAAGGTCTACTCACACGAGGAAGTGATACAGGAAGCACCTCAGGCCGGCGGGTCTCTCTAGGAAGTTGTACACATCGCCCTGCATGCTAGTCTTGGCGTGGTAAGGGCTGTGCGGGAAGCGGGCGGCGGAGGGAAGCGGGACGGTGGAGATGGAGAGGGGCTTGCAGCGCTCGCTGTGCGCTGGTGGATCCTTTGTGTGGCCACCTGGAGCGACGGGCGCGCTTGATCCATTATTCACCACGGGCTCCAGTTCCAGTGAAACAGGAGAGTGTGCCGCGGCGAGGGAAGCGCTGGGCACTGCTGCCTCCTCCAGGCTGTGCTGGAAGTCGTGGCCGTTGTGGCCGCAGTTCTTTAGTTTGATGCTGTTGCTGGAGGTGGACCATCCGAACGTACGTCCACGGGATAACAGAGGGGTCGGGCGGCCCAGCCTGTCCCCCATGGTGGAGATGCGTTTCAGTGGGGTTGTTGGGCAGAACTGCTCCAAAGAGATTAGTCTGACATGGCACTAAACCTGTAAAGGGAGAACAAATTTGAGGAAAAATTAAAAGAAGTTCACCTGAAAATGAAAATTTGCTGGAAATGTACTCACCCTCAGGTCATCCAAGTTGTAGATTAGTTTGTTTCTTCATCAGATTTGAAGAAATGTAGCATTACGTAATTTGCTCACCAATGGATGTGAATGGGTGCCGTCAGAATGAGAGTCCAAACAGCTGATAAAAACATCACAATAATCCACAAGTAATCCACACCACTCCAGTCCATCGATTAATGTCTTGAGAAGCCAAAAGTTGCGTTTGTAAGAAACAAATCCATTAAGACGTTAACTTTAAAGATCCGTTCATACCAAGGACGATAACTATAAAGATATAGCTCTAAAAATCATTCTCAATATTAAAGAACAGCAGAGTCCACACCACAACTATAACGATACAGGCACAGAGAAACGATATCATTGGAATCACTTTCAGAACGATTTTTTCAGATACAAACATTAACACCCAATCAGAATCCATCCTGCTATAATGAGGTCGAGAATTTAAAGCGGCAGACGAGCATGCGCTTAGAATAAACAGACGATATCGTCCATTGGTGTGGACGCTAATATCTTTATCTATATAGTTATCGTTCTCTGTGTGAACGGGGCTTAAACCATCATGTCCGCTAAAATATGAGTCCATAATCCATAATAACGCTTTCTCCAGTGAAAAAGTCCATCTGCTGTTGTCTCTCACATCAAAATCCACCCACATGTTTAGAGCTGTTTTGGACTGTTTTGGCTTGTAAACGATGTTTGATCTGAGCAGATTTCTCTCCTGATTCAGACAAGATAACTTTTTAACTAAAGAAAGCAATATTATAGATGGAGGACGCATATATGTTAGCGGTAGCAATGGTTTGAAAAACGTCTCGATGGATTTGTTTCTTGCAAAAACAAAGATTTTCACTTCTCAAGATGTTAATTGATGGACTGGAGTGCTGTGGATTTCTTGTGGATTATTGTGGTGTTTTTATCAGCTGTTTGGACTCTCAAGGGCACCCATTCACATCCATTGGTGAGCAAGTCATGTAATGCTGCATTTCTCCAAATCTGATGAAGAAACAAACTCATCTACATCTTGGACGGCCTGAAGGTGAGTACATTTCAGCAAATTGTCATTTTTTGGGTGAACTGTTCCTTTAATTGCTCACATTGGTTTACACCTTTTAAGATCATTTACAGTCTTGGTGATCTTGAGTATTTGGTTGCGTTTGATTGATCACCAGTTGTTGGGAAGTCACAGCACACATTAACTCATGAGGTGTCATGACGTGCCCCAAGTCTGCGGGTTTAAATAAGGAGCAGCTCGCAGCTCAGACAGGTTAAAATTGCACGAGAATGCACTGAAGATCACCAGACACATCCATAACCCTCCTCTGGCACTCAAATGCGCCATGAGATCATGTTTAAAAGTAGTGAAAAGTCACTCACTCACTCACTCACTCACTCACTCACTCATAAATAAAGGTTCTTCGATGGTTCTTAGGTTCTTGTATTCTATTTTAGGTTCTTATATTGTATTGTGTTCTCTTGTATACGTTGATAAATGCAACATTAAAGACATTTGTAATTACAAAAATTACAAAGAAATTCTATTTCAACTTAATGCTGTTCTTTTAAAGGGTTAGTTCATCCAAAAATGAAAATTAGTCCATAAATTACTCACCCTCAAGTCATCCTAGGTGTATATGACTTTCTTCCATTTTTGGGTGAACTAACCCTTTAAACTTTCTATTCATCAGTGAATCCTGAAAAAAATTGTATTACTGTTTCAACAACAAACTAAAAAATGAAGCAGCACAACTGTTTTCAACGTTTATAATAATCAGAAATGTTTCTTGAGCAGCAAATTAGCATATTAGAATGATTTCTGAAGGATCATGTAACACTGAAGACTGGAGTAATGATGCTCACCCCCCGGAGCCGTGTGAGATGCTTTTTTTATGGATGGGCACTTTTTATTTAACTTCTTTTGGACTGATGCATGCAACACCCGCTGAGTGGCATTAAACAGCTTGAAAGATCAAAGACAATTTTTAATATAACTCTGACTGGATTCGTCTGAAAGAAGAAAGTCATATACACCTAGGATAACTTGAGGGTGAGTAATTTATGGGCTAATTTTCATTTTTGGGTGAACTAACCCTTTAAACTTTCTATTCATCAGTGAATCCTGAAAAAAATTGTATTACTGTTTCAACAACAAACTAAAAAATGAAGCAGCACAACTGTTTTCAACGTTTATAATAATCAGAAATGTTTCTTGAGCAGCAAATTAGCATATTAGAATGATTTCTGAAGGATCATGTGACACTGAAGACTGAAGTACTGATGCTGAAAATTCAACTTTGCATCACAGAAATAAATTACATTTTAGCATATATTCACACAGAAAACGTATTACTTTAAAATGTAATAATATTTCACAATATATTTCACAATATTACCATTTTCACTGTATTTTTTGATCAAATGCACATTTTTTTGCTAAAAATGGAACAATGACACTTGTTTTTCCTCAGACAGAAAAAATCTACTAAGCATGTGCTGAATGAGTGTCATCACTCCAGCTTGATTGTGATTTCACTGAAGTCTTCCTCAGACGGGTCACAGAGCAGTGAGGAAGAGGAGTAAAATACCCTCATTAATGAGGTCAGACTTTCCCCTCAAGAGAAATCACAAGATCACCAATCCATCATGAGATGACCAGTGGATGGACACACAAAGCCACTGGAAAAAGCTTTGTGAGTGGAGACAAATCGAAACAGGACCCTGCCATCCTTTCTGCCACGTCTGTCAGTCACAGTGGCAGAGCCGCTGACAGAAGCGCCACTACAGCACCGGCCGCTCGCAGATATAGTTTCAGACCACCGCTTTAAGCTGCAGATCACAATGTCAAGAGATAGAAAGCACTCACATTCAGAGCATGTCGAGAGGATTTAGTGGACAGAGAGATAAACACACTCACGCTCATTCATGTGTGCATGAAGCACGAAAGCAGCAAATTAATGAAACCAGTCACTCTTCAAGTTATCAAACCAAAACGACTGGAATTAAATAGATTTGCCAGATTTTATATGACATATAATATATATGCAAAATTATTAATTTTGTATTATTTATGCAGGAATTTATTTATGCATTTAAATAATTTCAAATCATTATTATAGTTACACTTTACAAAGCAGTTGTTTACAGTAATATTAGTTAACACATTAGGCATCAAAAATAACAATATTATTTTTGCTGCATTTATTCACCTTGACAATTTTATAAATATACAATTGATCATTTATCATTATACAACTTTTGATGTTAAAAATGTCTTAATGTAAAAAATAACCAGATAAAGTGCTAGAAGTGATCAAATGCTAATACGAAGCTATTGTTTCTTGTTATTTCATGTGCGATAACTGTTAACAAGCATAAACTTATTGTAAACTAAGTCGTCGTATATTTCTATGCATATTTTGTGCATAGAAAATGTTCAGCTCAGAAAAGTAAAAAAAAAAATTAAATTTAAAACAGAAATAGACTATTTTAATTGCGAATAAATGCCTTTTCATCTATATTTATAGCCACAATATGCACATACAACGTCTTGAAATGTTTAGCTAGCTATGTTTATCTTCATAGACTCTACATAGAGTCAAAAAGACCCTTTTCTAATTCCTACACACGTCAAGACTATAAATCATTTTTAATCTTGCATCGATCACTTTATAAAACAAAAGAAATGAACTTTTAAATCAACAATACCTCTCTCCAGCAGGGCTCCTGGTGTGTGTCGTGCAGAGCTGCGCGTCAGTGCTTCATCATCATCATCATCATCATCATCTGAAGTAAACGCGTTAATTGCAGTGAAGAGGAGATGTGCTTCAGTTGTCTGTGATGCTGTGAGTGAAACACATTTGTGGAGATGCAACAGAACAGAGATCATCGCGTCTGTCAAGGCGGGCTCACGGAGGAAGCTTTTGAAATATTTCATAAACATAACAAATTCAAACGTTTTCGGCTCTGATATATGTAAAGAGTATTACGCCATACTCTCTGGGGGAAAAAATGATGATTCCGCTAATAATAATCAATGTTGGGGAAAGTTACTTTTAAAAGTAATGCATTACAATATTGCGTTACTCCATAAAAAGTAACTAATTACGTTACTTCGTTACTTTTTATTGAAAGTAATGCGTTACGGTACTTTTGCGTTACTTTTAAAATCTGGACAGTGCTTGCTTGTTTGTTTTTAAAATAAAAAAGTTCTGTTTTTGGCAAATATAAAAGCCTTTTCACACCAAAAGTGAAATGAATAAGCCTCAGTTAAAAAAGTAATCCGATTACGTAACTCGCGTTACTTGTGATGCGTTACTCCCAACACTGATAATAATAATATAAAAAATAATAAAAAATATCAAATAGAAGTTATTTATATTGTTTAACAAATACGTTATTTGCAAGCAAAAGGTTTCACAGAGTTATTTTAGCTATATAATGTACGCGTTATTAATACACTTATAACGTATCGCGAACGTGCTAGTCAGATTAAAAAAAATAGTTCAAAACGATAATCAGTTAAAAAACATTCTCTTAAAAACGCATCTCAAGACTTTCTGTTCAATTCATTCGTTTTCCATCTAGTTATATTCTCCACGTAGAACGCAAAGAGGCGCTCCAGCTTATATGTTTCACTCTCAAAATGTTACACTTAAATGTTGTTTTGAATAAAAAGCAGAGCGTTCGGTTCGTTTGTGTTTTGATATCGAATGAACAGCACTAGCATTTAACACGTCTCTCACGTTTTTAGCTTCGCTTTATTTGCGTCCATCCGGGCCGCCGTAGGCACGCTGCAGGTTTTTCCATCATGGCTGCGTACATCACTCACCCTGCGCTGTCCTCCTTATGCAAAATAAACTGTAATATTAATGCAATATATAGCTTAATTTCATTCAGCAGGAGGATTTCAATCTCCTCTGTCCTCTCAACAAGCGCCGTGACCACAGAATCAGGTAAAAATCGTATTATCTGTTATTTAATCTATTTACAGTATTACGGAGAGCTACAAAATAATGACTATGATTATTATAGAGTAAATATGTCATTACATTACTAAAATGAAATATTACATTTAACTAACAAAACTGGCATAATATTAAAATGTTATTGGACATGTACCATAGTACTACCATGGTATTCTTTGACTAAGTAAATACAGTTGTAAATGAATATGATAATCGTTCAATACCTAGTGTACATTACTCATTCAATACCCATGGTATTATCAGTTGATACCGTCATTGTACCATCAAATTCAGGGTTAATTGCTCGTCTGGCATGTTGTATTTAACTAAATTGTTTATTATGGCCTAATATTGTGACTTAAAAAATAACGTTACTTATTGAATGTGCACGTAATTTCTGCACTCATCAAATGTCTGATTACAGAAGCCGCAGGTCAAGGTGTCCGGGGTCAGCGGAGGTCAAAGAGACAGGTTGTTATTACGCTTTACCTCATCATACTCGTAATGCAGTTGGTCTGTGTTCTGATCTATCTTTATGAATCAGGTAAATAATATTATTGATAATAAAACACGTTTGATTGCATGGCACAGGCTGGGGAACCCAGGACCGAGCGGATGACTGTGGATCAGGACTGGACCGCAGTTTATCCCACTGCAGCGTCGTTCAAACCGTCCACCGTTCCTCTGCCGGTGCGGATGGGATATCCCGTGAAGAGAGGCGTACCGCCTGCCAAGAAGGGCAACCTGGAACTGATAAAGGTGATAAAGTCTTTTCAACTACATCTATTTAAAAACAAAATTAAAACAAACTCAAGCAGAAGTGCAATGTACAATATTTATTTGTTATGTATTTATTTTGGGGGGGGGGGGGTTCTACTGGTCTTAAAAAGTCTTAATAAGCCATTCCACAAATTAAGACCTAAAAAGGTCTTAAATTGCAGCAGAAAGTCTTAAATTCATAAAGCCATGGCATTAAATGTTGCATGCATTGCACAAAAAAAGAAAAACACTATCTTCCTCAATACTAATTTCAACATCCTTAAATCAAGACACATTTGAGATGCAAATTGAACATATGTGAACCCTGGACCACAAAACCAGTCATAAGTGTCAATTTTTCAAAATTGAGATTTATACATCATCTAAAAGCTTAATAAATTAGCTTTCCATTGATGTATGGTTTGTTAGGATCGGACAATATTTGGCTGAGATACAACTATTTGAAAATCTGGAATCTGAGGGTGCAAAAAAATCTAAATATTGAGAAAATCAGCTTCAAAGTTGTCCAAATGAAGTCCTTAGCAATGCATATTACTAATCAAAAATTAAGTTTTGATATATTTATGGTAAGGAATTTACAAAATATCTTCATGGAACATGATCTTTACTTAATGTCCTAATGATTTTTGGCATAAAAGAAAAATTGATAATTTTGACCCATACAATGTATTGTTGGCTATTGCTACAAATATACCCCAGCGACTTATGACTGCTTTTGTGCTCCAGGGTCACATATGAAGTCTTGTTTTTTGAGAAATTGAACACAATTAAGTGAGTTTATGCTTAAAACAAGAACAATTGTCTTTCAATAAGGTATGAAAACTTGTTTTCCCTTTTAATTAAGTTGATTTTTCAGAGTTCATTGGCAGATTTGTTCTTGTTTTAATCATAAACTCGCTGAGAAAACAAGATTTCTTATGTCATTTTTGTTCTCAAGTAAATGTCTTGATTTAAGAATCTTCAGACATTTGCACTGGAAGACAAGACAAAAATACAGATGAACACTTTTTTTTGCCTTGCGATCTCAAGCTATAGTACGATTTATTTCCATATTCCAGTGTTTGAGCTAATTAAGCCCTTTTTTGTCAAATGAATTGGAAAAATAATGGCGATCTTGTATTTTCAAACTTTGAAGTGTAGCTAATTGAGACCATATCGACATATTTTGTTCCATTCAAATTATTCCTTAATTTTAAATGTACCTTCATAAAAACTGCAGAAACCCTGTTTGTGCATTATGATGTGTATGGCAGAGCATATCTCTAAGGTCAGTTTGTAAGGATGTAGACCTAGCATGTCTCTTTGAACAGAAATTTTTAGAATTTGGAACATTTTTTTTTCTGCAAAAATGGAAACCCGTGTATATAAATTGTGGAAACCTTATTGTGAACTTTAAATAATGCTAACTGGTCCTATTCAGCTCGTCTTTTGTTGCATATACATCAAAACGTGACATTTGTAATAAAACACTTTTTTTAATCATGCTTTAATGTCTTTCAGATCCCAAACTTTTTACACTTAACCCCTGTTGCTATTAAGAAGCACTGTGAGGCCCTGAAGCGTGAGTTTTTTTCAGTTTTCAATAATGGACAGCAGCAAATGTTATGTGGCGTGCTAAATGAGAGAGAAAGATTTGTAAATGTTTTCCGTTTAATTTGTCCAGAGTTCTGTACGGAGTGGCCGTCTGCCCTGGACTCGGATGAGAAGTGCATGAAACATTTTCCAATCCAGGTGCAGAGTAAGGAATTCGTATCCGCTGGATTGTCGCTGAAAAACCCAGACGCGAGGATAGTGACACTGAAGGTACGTCTGTCAGTTTTGTTTATTACTTTCTGGAGCTTAAATTAATATTTTCCAAATTATGAAATTTTTTTGTTTTTGGATATGACCTCTTTGTTCAAAACAGCCCAGCATCCACCTAGAAACCAGAGCTAAACTGCGTATTCTGCTTTGTTTTCTTTGTGAAATAATCTGTTTGAATGGGCAGAAATTCGACACATTTTCGTTCCGTTTTTTTTTTTTGTGTGTGTGTGTGTGTAACCATTCAGTTTTTCATCATCACGTATTTAGAGTAAACTGTGTGTAAATGGGATGTCAAAGCAAAACAAACTGCGGTTAGTCGCTTTTACACGTCAGTCATGGTCTCTTTCTGTCTAAATGGGTGTTTTTGGACAGAATATGCTGCGGAAGGGACTAGACATTTACTGTCAAAAGTCCGGCTACTTAAAAAATGAAGCATGATGTGGACTGTTTTTCTGCCCATACTGTCTCCTCTTAGCAGAATTATTTACACTTGAACATATTCAGTAGCACATTACGAAAGATACAGGAGAATTAAATGAGCATAAACATTCCAGATAAGTAATAAGTCATTTTTGCTTGTCGTCAATAAATGGATAAATACTCGTCAATGAAATGCGGTCACTTGAAGACATGCGTGAATCTTAGGGATGTAACGATTACCGGTTTGACGATAAATCATGATAAAATTCCCCACGGTTAGTATTACCGTTTCATCTTTTAATTATCATTAAAACTGTATTAGATTACCGCGATTTGAACAACTCACGATAAATAAATACTGTGCAGCATAAAGCACAGTTTTAAGTAACAGTCTCACGTGCGCACAGCACGCAGAGTAGTTTCATTTTGTGTGAAAACATGGCGGAAAGCTAAGAATTTGTTGTTTGTTGATTTTTAGATATAAAACTTGAAGTGATTTATATGTCGTTACTTTTTGAACATCTCCAGCACGTTAACAATACCGTGATAATACTGATAACCCTGATCATTTTGGTCACTATAATCGTGATAAGAAATTTTCATACCGTTACCGTTACATCCCTATGCGTGATGGCCTCATTGATTTTGCAGTATATTCTCTCTTTATTTATAATCTGAAATGTGCGATTTATCATAAATCTCTCACCATCTGGCTGAAAAACCAGGAATCGCCATCTGACGTTAATCCCGTTGGATTAGGGCTGGATGTGAAGGGGATCAAAGGGCAGATTTACGGGATGAGGGTCTTCTTGACTGAAACAGCCAGAAAACCCAGGATAAGTCAAGTGCTATTGCATTGTGCACCATTGTTTTGTTCTTTGAGAGAGAGAGCTTACTGTAGTGATGACACTGGGTTGTGTTTGTGCCGAGCCGGAGCGGGATTTAAAGAGCAGAGTTGTACATGATAGTTAGTGCTTTTTGAGGGTTTGTTGTTTGGAAGAATGAGATTTAATAGAAAGCATGTTCAAGATGACTGGAGGAACGCCAAGTGAAAATGATTGCTGGAGAAATGCTGAAGATTTGGATTAAGTGACTCATTGTCCTTTGATGAACTTTCAAGACTGGGAAATAAATATAAATAAACTTTAACAAAATGTTAAATGAATAGAAAATATTATAATAAAAACTTCAGTTGTCAGTTATAATATTTTATATTATGAATTATATTTTTATATTTTTTCTTTAAAATTTGTGTTACAGTTTTAGTGATTTTGTGTTTTTGTCCTTTTCATGACTATTTATGTTATTTTGTATCCCTATTAATATTTTTAATTTATTATAAATGTTTTACATACATTTTATTTAAAAAAAATCTATAAGTGCATGTTTACATTTTTGTTTTCTGTTTATTTAAATTTTTGTTGAAGTTTTAATGATTTTGTTGTGTTTTTTGTCATTATTGTCTATGCATGTTATTTTAGTATCGAGATACTATTATAGTTTTATTATTTTTAATAAAATATATTTTTATACATTTTATAAAACAATTTGATAAATATTGAAGTTTATTTTTGTATTTTCTGATTTCATTTTAATTTTTTTACATTAGTGATTTTATGTGTTTGTGTCATTTGTCATATTTCATTCATTTTATTTCAGTTTTAGTTATTTTAGTACATCAAGAGATAAGCAGGGTCCTGATCATCCTATCAGTGTTTACTATCTGACTATACTTTATTCCTCGTGTGTGTACTCTCAATAATGATGCATTTTTAACCATTTAAACATTCTCCCTAATTAAAAAAGGCAGTTCAAATGTGTTTCTGCCCTTTGCAGGTGAAGCTCTCCAGCTTGAATCTGGATGATCACGCCAGAAAGAAGATGATCAAACTCGGTGAAGAGCGATACTGCAAAGACACCGACACGCTCACCATAACCACAGACAGGTGCGTGATATGGATACATATTCTTCTGTGTTGTTTTATTCCTCATTTCTCTTACGTTAAAATGATCTTTGTGTGTGTGTGATTGTAGTTGCCCGCTGAGACAGCAGAATTACGATTACGCCATGTACCTCCTCACCGTGCTTTACCACGAGTCCTGGGTGAGTCTGCAACCCTCCACATTACTTCAGAAACACTGACATTTGTATGCGATTTCAACTTTTTCCAGCAAGCTGAAATGAGATGCATTTTTGTGATTTATTAGCTGTCATGTACAAATCTGTATAGGTTCAATGTTTAAGATCATATCTACTAGGGCTGTAAAAAAAAAAAATTGCGAATTTCGAATATTCGTCGAATTTAAAATAAAAAGCCCACTGGATTGCGGAGAATGTTGTTTACGTCAAAACCGGTTCACACAGAACGCATATTTATCACATTTTCTAGAGGGACATCTATCATCATTGCACTCGCGTCTCGCACAAGAGAGCCACATGTTTAGAAAGCCATGTAAAATTAACGCAAGTTTAACGTTTAAAAAACATGTCTCGAGACATTATGGCGGTTTTTCCCATCCCACTGCATCTCATGTTTTTAAATGAAGAAAGTGTGATTGGTTTTCGGTCCTTTGTATTAAACTATACATACATGCATGATGCTGTTTTGTTTTTTGTTTTCTTGTGGCCTCGAGAGAAGCCAAAAGCTTTTTTCCCCCTAACTGAAATTATGCCTTTTAAATTCGAATATTGATCATATTTAAGTACAAAATTCGAATTTAGATTTTCAGCCATTTTGACAGCCCTAATATCTACACAGTAGGGCAGGATTTACATGCTACAGGGTGGATTTCATGAAAACTGTCAAGAAATATGCAGGTCAAAATTTGCATGAAATAAAACATTTTGTTTGCATGAAGAAAATTAACCCTGTAGATGTTAAAATAGTCTTCAGATGTCAACAATAATTGAGATGCATAATATCTATATCAGTATCAATATCAGTCACCACTTGATTTTATTTTTTGTTAAAAGTACTATACAGTAATACATGTTTGTGTGTATGTATATGTATGTATATTAATTCTAGAATTATATATATATACACATACATACACATATATGATGTATTTATACAAAACTAAATTTAATAATAATAAAAATAAATTATACAATTATATAAATTTTTTTTTAAGTATAATAATATACAATATATTTCTTAAGGGTGGCAAAGCGGTATAATATTAGCAATAATATCATATGTTTCATGTGTCAATTCACTTTTGTTCAAACTTTCTAATGGCATAAATGTATTAAATTATTACAAATTTCTAATTTTTAAGTGAACCATTGCTTTAAGCATGAGCAATAATAATAGTGATGCTTGCCTTAGCACTAATCATTATTGATCATTGTGATTTCTGTATCAGTACATCGACTGGATTGTGATCAGCTTCTGTCTGATGGAGGTTGATGTGTTCTCCGTGCTCGTGTGTTTGAATCACAGGACAGTCTCTCTGATGTCTGTCACTGAACACATGAATATTTCATATCTCTATTGTACCTGAACTCTTATGAAAGTTTCAGTGGGGTCCCGCTGGCAGTGGGGTGGATTTCCATGACAGAGACCCCCTGTGGGACGACATTAAATGATAGGATGAGGGGGGTATGAATAAAGGTTGGGAATCCACAACAGTGACGGTGCACTTTGGGTTTTTACATCCCCTTCCCTAAGTTTGCTCAAGATGTGTGCATTTTCCCATCATGCTCTTGTCGCTGGAGACTAGCTGGCTTTGGTATTGTGTAACTATGTTCTGAGCTTCACTAAGAAGCCTGGCTGAGAACCACGCTCGAGCTTTGTTTGCCATCCTGGTTGGGAAGTGTAACGGTGTCCGCTGGCCTTTCGCTAGCACAATGGCTAGCACAGTGGCGGCTCGGAGCGCTCAGGACGGGGTAGAGTGACGTCGGGTGGGAACGGGAGGGGGGGCCACAAAGCAGCCGATTGTTCCAGACCACGAGGGTGATTGTATCTCCAAGACCTGATTTAGCTGCCAATACGGCTACAGGATAATCCATTCAAACTGTGTTCACATTGACTGGAAGAGGTTTTGGAACAAATGTGGCCTGGGTGTGTTTCCAGAGGTTAAATATCACCCCTTTTTTCCATTTCATTTGGTTTTTAATGCGTCGTGAAGTCATCACAACACGTGATTGCAATGCGGTGTACTTCTGAAATGTTGGGTGGCCAAACAGCAAAAAAAATACAAAAATTAATCAATAATACAGCTCGACTTCATGGAAATATGTTAGGATATTTGTGGGATACATTTTCCTAATGTAAAATAGATTTCGTTTAAATCAAATGCTAAAATATATTACAAAAAATGTCCACAAAAATACATTTTCCAATCTTAAAATACATTTGGGTAAAAATAAGAAAATATAATTTAGAATTTAATTTAAATATAAGTCAAAATATATTTATGCATATCTATATTAGCTATATATTTAAATAGCAATATAGGAAATTGATTTTTAAAATGTATAATATTTAATTTAAACCCTTGTTTCTGATCTTTAAATACATTTTAGGTAAAAAAGCATAAATATGGGAAATATAACTACGATCAAAATATATTTATGTAAATGTGTTTTTATATGTTGTAAAGATACAGCTTAAGGAAATAGTTTTTCAAATGTAACATTTTATTTAAACCTTCAAATGCTAAAATATATTACAAAATGTCCAAAAAAAAAAATGTCCAATCTTAAAATACATTTTGGGTAAATATAATAAATATAGGAAATATAGTAAACTAAAGCATATCAAAATACTTTAAAAACTATATTAGCATTTTTTTTTTTTTTTTGCTGGCCAAAAATAAGTTTCAAATATATGCTAAATAAACAATGCAACTTAAGGATATGTATTTTTCAGGGTTTTTTTTTTTTTTTTTTTTAAACCTTCAAATGCTAAAATATATTACAAAATGTCACAAAAAAAAAAGTTTCCAATCTTAAAATACATTTTGGAAATATAAGTAACTAAAACTTCAAAATATCAAAACATATTTATGTATTTACCTGTATTTATATAAAATATTAAATGTGGAAAAAATACATTTCTGATAATAAAATATATTTTGGCTAAATACAAGAAGTATTTAAATATATTTTGAATATTATAACTACATTTAGATATAGATATATAGCTTTTTTATATTATAATGCTAACATATGAAATGTATTTAAAATATACATTAGCATTATATTTTGAAATACATTTAAAAATATATCTGTAAACACATATAATAATTTTTATTAAATTTCCATTATATGGGGAAACGTCACGTTTTTCAATTGAAAGATTAAAGGGTTAGTTCACCCAAAAATGAAAATTCTGTCATTAATTACTCACCCTCGTGTTGTTCGAAACCCGTAAGACCTTCGTTCATCTTCGGAACACAATTTAAGATATTTTTGATGAAATATGAGATACGAAAACAAAAATAACAACTTTATTCACACGCTGTCGTGAACGCGCATCCACAAGTGATGCAGTAGAGACGAAAATGTGGAATAAAGTCGTTATTTTTGTTTTCTTTGTGCAAAAAAGTATTCTCGTAGCTTCGTAACTTTACAGTTGAACCACTGATGTCACACGGTCTACTTTGTCGATCATCTTGGTACTTTTCTGGACCTTGAACGTGGTAGTTACCTTGCTGTCTATTGGAGGGAGGGTCAGAGAGCTCTCAGATTTCATCAAAAATAACTTCGTTTGTGTTCCGAAGATGAACAAAGGCCTTACGGGTTTCGAACAACACGAGAGTGAGTAATTAATGACACCCAAGTTTTTGGGTGAACTAACCCTTTAAAGTCATTTCCAAAAATGGGGTCTATATTGATTTCACATTGACTTTAACGCTTGTTTTTGGTGTTTCTTGAACAGAAGAGCTCTCCAAGAACCCATATTTTTCTTTCCCCGAGCGGTTAACCGATCAGCTCGGCTCGCACAGCGGTGGCCTTTCGAAAGCAAACCACGAGCGTCTTCATGTCCTCAGTCAGGTCCTCAATTACACTCCTACTCTCTCCAGTGAAAGGCCAATCTCATCAATTAGTTGCAAACCATTTGATTTGCCTCTTCGGCTAAATTGAATCATTTGGGTCAACAGTCCTAATCAAATCCTCACGGTCTGGCCAAACCACCTTCATCTCCATAGAAACCACCTAATCCATCAGTCGCTCCCTAAGTAGTGCCCTGCGGCCGGGTGATTTGAGGAGAGGAATGGAGGACGTTTGGAAAGGGAGAAGGACGAGGGATTGGTTTGTGTGTGCATGACCTGTATTGATAGTCATTAGGCTGGAGCACCAGAGGCCTTCACACACACAAAGACGCTTTTGTCACTGAGGATGGGAAGTATTGGGAAAATTTAGTCTCAGGCTAAGGAGGGACTCCAAGGGTTCTTATCAAACTCAAGCTGTCTTTAAAAGTTTGCAGCACTCGTTCAAACGCTTAAGCAAATGTTGAGCGGGTCTCTTCATGTTTTCAGTGAAATCAGAGCCGCTCGTCGTGTTTATTACAGCAGTTCCTTTCCAAATCAGCTTGGCATTTTTATCGTGCCAGAATTCCTCAGCCGATCCAAGACGGTCGAAAAGTATAGTTTGTTTTCAATGCTTAAACAATCTTAGTCCAAGTTGGGTTTAAATGTGCTTTTTGACATTTTATCATCAAATCACTTCTTTTACCAGAAGATAATATTGTAAGGCTTGGATCGTTTAGTGTCGCATGCTCTCAGGCACTTGATTCATTGCTTGTATGATGAATCTCAGCCTTCAGTGAAGTTCTAACAGTGACATTTTAAGTCCTGCAGTTGATGCTCCTATGAGGAGAGTTTGAGACACTTTTTCATTAGTACAACTATATGACATACAAAATCTGGCCAAAATATTTAAAAAAAATAATGATAAAATAAAAATAAAATAAAAAAAACATACCTAAGTAATCAAAATAAAGTAAATGTATTTTAAAATCTATATTAGCTATATATTTTTGGCATTTTTAAATATGTTGTAAACAATGCAGCTTAAGGAAATATTTTGTTTAAACCATCCAATGCTAAAATATATTTCAAAAAGTGCAAGAAAATACATTTCTAATCTTAAAATACACTTTGGGTAAGTGCAAAATGTAAAAATATAAATATATTTAGATTGAAAATGTGATAATTAAATTATTCATATAATATATATATATGGCCATTTTTTGTATGTGTACACTTTTGGGGCAATGTATTTTTAAGTGAAGTTGTTAACAATATAAATATAATTTATATTGAGATGAGAAGTCAAAAATTGAGGAAATCAACAAAAAAAAACATTTATTTTTAAATATATTCAAAAACATATAAATATATTTTGGACCACAAAACCAGTCATAAGGGTCCATTTTTTGTAATTGAGATTTTTTGATATATTTATGGTAGGAAATTTACAAAATATCTTCATGGAACATGATCTTTACTTAATATCCTAATGATTTTTGGTATAAAAGAAAAATCAATAATTTTCACCCATACAATGTATTGTTGGCTATTGCTACAAATATACCCCAGCGACTTAAGACTGCTTTTGTGCTCCAGGGTCACATATTCTAAAATATATATATACATTTTTGGACTTTTGTGTATGTACACATTTTTTAACAATATAAATATATTCAGATTAATAGAAAATTAGACAAAAAAAGGACATAAAAATACATTTTTAAATGTATTCAAAAACATTATATAAATATATTTTTAAATATATTTCATCAATGTTTTGCCATTTTTTGTATATTTTAATATATATATGAAAATATATATTGTTTTCCCATACGGTGGAGACTTAATGTTTTTCCATGTTAAATGTAATGCCATACAGTCACAGGTGTAAAAGACTGCTGATATTGCACAGTGTGCCTTTGCTTTTACCTAATTTCATATTGTACAGCAATCCTAATCGTAAATTCATTATTTTCACCACTGCATTTGGTACAACACATTTGAGAGTGCACACCAAACATTTTGCTGTTATCTTCCACTTGATCAATCAATCATTTTCACCATCAGTCTTTTAAAACTGTTTTTGCCATGTCACTGTTTTACAGAAAACCGAGGCGTGGGAGCAGGAAAAGACGCGTGCGGATATGGAGGAGTACGAGTGGGAAGACAGTCCGTCCCAAAAGAACGTTCTGGACACTCTCCTGCGCATGCGACCGCTTGGAGCGAAGGATGAGGTGGAGGAGCTGCTGGGGCAGCCGGCGGTGCAGGAGTACAGAGACACCATGCTCAGGCTGAAGAACGAGGGAGAGACCGAGGAAAATCTACACAAGTATAAAGAGGCTGTGAAGAAGCTCTTTAATATCTGAGCTCCGTTATAGGGAATATACATGTATAATTTCATATTAAAAATGTGTTAGGGAAAACTAAAAGCAGTAAGGTGGCTTTTTTTTTTTTTCACCAGTGAGCCATGCATTGTTTTTATCATTTTGATGTTTTTGTTGTTGTTTTCAAATTATATGCAAAAGTCTGCTATATTCACGAAAAATAAATTAATGACAATTAATGAGCGACGTTAACCAATTTCTGCTTTTTTTTTTTATTTGTTTTTTTTTTCCCA